TATATATATACAGTATATACAGTAAATCATACTAAACTGACAAAATGAAGAAATTGCTAATATATTTCACAAATGACAAAAAAAAGCAGTAAGTGAAATAAATAAATATGAAATTTAGAAGTAAATAGTATTTTCTAGTATTTTCAAACTCCAATAATCTTTGTTACAACTTTTAAGCATACTTTTTTACAGTGCATTATGTTGTGCTTACGCTGTACCTTTACTGAAAAGGATGTTGTATTTACAAAGTGCTACAAACAATGAACAGTCTGTTTCATGAAAGAAAGTCACATCACACAACCTACCCAAATTCCAGACTCTTACAACCAGCACATGCATGCATGCATACTGACAAAACATGCAAACCTCTGCAAGCATGCAGGAACATGTTTGCCATACTGAGCTAGAATTAAAGGACCGAGAGAAATGTGAATCCGTTCTGTACACTCTCATCTGCACAACATGTATCGCACACAAACGCATGCATCACACTCACATTCCTACATCCTGGTGTTAAGGAACCTTAGTACAGTTCATTCAATGACCTCTGCCGAGCCTTACTGCCAAACATCTCAAATTATGCAACACAATAAACAATGTGCAGAGCAAAACCAAGAGAGAGTCGCTGGCAGCTCATCAGAGAGATAGAGCGAGAGACTGCACAAAACCACAGCCAGAACCGAAATTAATGTTGTAAATAATCTCATTCAACAGCCAGTTAGTCAGGTTAGATCGACCTCAAGTGTACTTCAAATACACCACACAGGGGGAATAAAACAGGATAGTAAAAACTGAGATGTCTCAATGTATGCAAAACCAAATGCTTTGTTGCCTCAAGGACACACTTACTGTGGCCACAACTCCAGTTGAAGAAAACTTAAAGTCTTTAATCTATTCAAGGGTTCATCTCTTTATTTTCTGAGCATGGAAAGAACCTATAGGAAAGAAGAAAACAACAACTAATATGGCCAGCAAATACAGACTGTATAGTTTCCTGTTGATATGTTTCTGAATGTATGAACTGATAAATGCTAGGGATGCACCGATATGAAAATTTTGGCCGATACCGA